CACAAGATTTCATTCTGTTGCATCATGGCAGTCGTGGTGACAACCAAGCTAAAACACATATCATTTTATAGCTAAGGTGTTTATCTGTAGAATGGCATATCTCTCAGCTCTATTGAACATTTCTATGAAAGGCTGTGATTTTTTCAAAATATGGTACTTTTCGCTACTATTAAAATAAAACGCTTATAACTCTTGAAGGATTGAACGAGAGCACGAATGGTTTTCAGATTCGTAATCAGTATCCTTAAATTAGCAAAGTGGGATACATTGCTTTGAAATCCCAGGGAAACACCTGGGAACCTTCCCTCGTAAGTTTCTTTTATTTAGCGCTGAAAACAATTAGGCATTTCAAAAACGGCACCGTATATAGAGTGTTTTCTTAATGTATAAAACAGCCCGAGTAAAACGATCCGTTAATGCGATGTTTACGGAACGGTAACTATATCGTTCTCGTTGACCTGAGAAGCGAATCAGGTAAATTTGTTTGATTTCAAATTATTTCTTATATAATATAATGTATCTTGATTCTCACATTTGTTTATGTATGATAAATCTTCTTCACGGATAATAACGAGTATATGGTGATAAAAACATCAACAGCTCAAAGCACTAAGCACAAATGGTAGATTTCCTTAGATAATCAAGAATGACATACGTTATCGACATTGGCCAAATCAATGTTTTAACTGACTTTGCATAAAACTTTGTTTTACAGAAAAAGCTCTACAAATAAAACACTCATGTGACAGAAATGAGATTTATAATTACTTAATATTTATCTCGAATTAGAATATTAGTGTCTTTATACGAGTTATTCAGATCAAGAAAAAACGGTAAAAAATAAACATTCATGCTGTACAAAATGAAAGTGGAATATTGAGAGTGCGTAACACTAACAAATATTCGTATGAGATTATTTTGTGCTATTTTTCCATACAAACGACTGTTCAAGAATACCCAAATGATTTAGCTAATTGTAAATCTTGATCTAATCGATAACGTGTCAAAGATTTTTTTTGCCGTCTCCGAAGTTTTTTGGCTTCTAAACGAAGTTGACGTTTTTCTTCTAATGACTGTTCATATTTCTGACGTAACCACCTGTAGGAGAAACGATATATAGATATACAGAGCCATGCTTCTCATAGTACAAAACTGAATAAATTATAACACAATCATTACCTGCGGAATGCACGATGTCCAGGTCCTGTTTTTATTGTATCTGCCGACTCATTATCTTCTTCTTCTTCTTCTTGTAATTTTCTCAGTTCATTTTGATTCATTGTTTGTTGTCTCTTTTTTTCCTCCCATTCACGACGAATTTTCTTTCTCTTTTTCTCGTTTTCTTCATCTTCTTTCGACTGTCGAGCCTAAAACCAATAATAGTGTTGAGATGATCAGGTATTGAGTTGAACAAAGTATTTGAATGAATCAATCGAAATATTTACCTTTTCTTCTTCTTCTTTTTTACGACGGTCTTCCTCTAATCGCTTTCTTTCCGAGTCTTTATCTTTTAACCATTGATCAAACGATGCTTTCGCTAGTAAAAGTTCCTTGTCACGTTTCTCTTGTGCCTCAAATAACCTTAAATTAAGTTTTGAACTATCTCATTATAAATACATACCTCACGTTCTAGTCTTAAATCTTCTTTCTGCTGATATTTTTTCTTTTCAATATAATTTCGATTTAATTCGGCAAAATTGACACCGGATGTTGATCTAACAATCAATAAATAAATAAAAGCTTAATGATGGTACGCAAATGACAACGATAGTCATTACTTTTTCAAAGAAATGTCTGTCGATTTCATTGTGCTAGCACTAAAATTTAAAAGAAAATATGAGAAGTCAAGAAGTAATTTATTTTTGTACATTACCTTTTTGGTCTTGAGTCAGGTTTAGATTCAAAATTAATTCGATTTCTAGACGAAGTAACATCGGATGATTTTGGCCTTTTTAATGGTGATAAAGTTGTTGCTTTTTTCGGCTCATTTTCATTAAATGTAATTATTGGTTGTCTCGATTCAAATGAGACTTTTGGTGGCAGGATCTTTCCTTGTATGTCATTATGCGATGTTTGTTGTTTAGCAAGATTTTTTCTCGCAAGATAATCATCCTCATTCTTGAGATCAAATACACCATTGATTGCTACTACCATTGGGTTTGAATTTGAACTTTCATTAGGCAATGTGGTTGTTGCTTTTTTTGCTGATGTGAGATCTCTAACTTTATCGTTTGTGTTTTGATTGTTTGAAGTAACTAGAAAAAAATGGGTTTCAATAGTATCAGATTAACTCAAAAATACAACATCGTTAAGGATACCAGATGATATTGGCATCTCTTCTTGATCGTCTCTTGGGGAAAATCTTTCTAATGGTAATGCACCATGAAACTGCATAGCTTTCAGTTGTTGTAATAAAGTTGGTCCACTTTTCGGTTGTGTAAGATCAAATTCAAATATAATGTAATCATATTTAACATCTGACTGATGACCTCTTTATCGAAAACCTTGCTCCTTCAATGTAATAATTGAATGTTTTTTATCATTCAGTGGGACTGTATACAGGTCACTGTCATTATCCTCTTCATGATCCGTAACATTACGTTTTATCTGCATTCCAGACTCGTCTTCTCTGTCATCATCTTGAATAATATCCACAGCTTTTACAACGGCATCAAATGAAACACGCTGGCGATGATTTAATTCTGCTGGCGTTTGATCGTGTTCAAATTCGGCGTTTGCTTTTTTTAAACGCTCTTTAATTACGACATCATAATCATAATTGTGGTCAATACCAAAGTGAAGGTCATCTACAAGATAAACAAGAGAAATAAGAGTACGAAAAAGAAAATAAACCTTACCATCATCCTCCATGTTTGCATCTATATCATTATATTCATTTCCGAATAGACCGAATTGAAATGGGAGTGGATCTGATTGTGACAAATCTTCGGCCGAATTCGACAACATGTTTTGTTCACGAAGTCCAATATTGGCATATTGATGTTTCAACGCTAATAGATCCGAATCTGAATAGGGAAAAACAACGTCACTTAGTAGAATTCATTCAAAACTGGCATTGTGACTAACCATCGAGATGTTGCCCAGGCCGAGGTAAATTGGATGCACCAAATGATCTTCGCGTTGGAGCATAAGAGTTATCAGAAAATGACGAATAATTATTTCGTAATGATACACGATCGTATGGGAAAAACTGGTTTGGACGCTCAATTATTGCCATCATGCCATCTACATATCAGAAATGATACAAACTATATTCACTTCAAATTGTAGTGTAATTTGTTCAAAAAAATAGGATCAAAATAAAATTAAATTAAGAGCTAAATTCAGAAGTGCATCTATGATGATACTATATACGGAACTTTTTCTAGGACGAACTACTCATTTGCTGTAAGAATAACGTATTAAAAGATCATCCCTGACGATGACGGGCAGGTTTCAGAAAAGTAATTCTATAGAGTCATTACGGGTATCGTTGTTTATAACAACGTGGATATAGCCTCTATTAGTATTTATAATTAAAAAGAGTTGATAGAATTCTGATAGTCATAGAACGTACTTTCGATTACGAAGCAAGAGATGTAGTTTCCATTATACATTCTTTTCCTTATAGAACGATTGTGGCGCCGTCACTGATTTAGTTGAATACTTCTGTAAGCGGAGAAATTGTCTCGAACAAAAGCCATATCTTTCAGTAGTCTCTGATATACGCCCTTCTAGGTATGCACCAGAGCCCGAAACGAATCGGGATTTCCTTATTCGGTTCAATTCGATTCGAGACAACATTTTCAAATCTTGAGTCGGTTCGATTCGATTCCGCTCCATGTCTCAAAACTAAATTCGGTTTGGTTCGGTTCGGGAAGCAGCCGAATCGGACCGAATGGAATGTCGAATCATTCGATTCGTTTCGGGCTATGGTATGTACCGGTTACAACCCATAAATTTCACCTTTTTCTTCAATGAATTGCATGAAAAGTACGCATATTAAAAATTTTCTAATAACTGACTAGGACGATCAGAACGGTACTGCTTGCGGCCCTAATACGTCAGTAAACGATAAAAAAACAGCACCATTACGGCATTAAACGGTGAAATACTGACCGTTAACGGTCCGTATTTGACCGTAAGAGTGTACGCAGCATTACAGTATTATCTCCGTACATACCTCCGTAAAACGACTCATGTCTCACGTAAACTATGCCGGAAGCGTTCGTATACGGTAACCGATACGGACCACCGTAAATACATCGTTTTTTAATCGTTTACTGCCGTTTACAGGCTGTTTTGCCGGACCTGAATGGGTTTTGTAGAGCAAACATTTTTCTACAAAATGAGCTATGGCTGAAGTCTTCATGTTTTCTATTTCTGACGTAATCGCTTTCTGACGAAGAGTCCTAAATCAGTTATAATGACCCGAATCGGGTCATTATAACTGATTTGTGCGGGATGTGTACGTTTATTTTAAAATGCTTCTCTGTGATCATATGACCTGTAATTAAGTAGTGTTTGCTTGTCGCTGATTTTACTGTATGCACGAATTTATCTTTCATAGTGCATAGCGTGTTACATATTTTTTCAGTATCTATCGCATCAAGACTTGCCATAGTTGAAGAGAGACTAGCTGAGAGCGAGTAACTGGACGTCGTTGATTTATTTGTGTTGATGAATGACTACTTTTTTCTTCTCAGTATCATATATCACTTTACTCGATTAGAGGATAGTTGTTCGGTACTGCTGCTGACATTCTGTTGCCATAAATGGTACTCGCTTGTCCATAGTATGATATTTTGAAAACAACTTTTTCTCGTTCTACTGGGGCAATAGTCTGTTTTACAGTGAAATATTGGTTTAGTTTTTATTAATAGCTTTTTGAACAAAATCTTTTCTTAATATTGGTAAATATTTTTCCTCGAAGTTTGTTATAAATAACTCTGCCATTAGAGGTGCGATAGGTGCTCTCATAGAGACTCCAAATATCTGATCATAGACTTTGCCGTTGAAGTAGAAATGAGTGTTCTTGGTGGCAAAAACTAATAGTTTTTTAAAATGCAAATGTTCCATTGATGGTTTTTTATTTGAGGCACACACTTTTGTAAGAATTATTTCGATCGTTTCATGTATTGGAATGTTTGTGTATAGGCGAGTCACATCGAAAGACACCATTTTATTATTAGTTATTAGGTTTCTATTTTAGAGTGTGTTCACAAGGTCAAAACGCTGTTAGAATTTGTTTTTAAATCCGGTAAGATTGTGGTCGATTCCTTACGAATTTTGTAACTAAATGTGCCTATGGTAGATACAACAGGTCGTAAATGTGTACCTTTTTTATGCACTTTTGGTAATCCGTATATGAAACTAGAGCTAGAACTCACAGATCTTGCCTTATTATATTGTTTGGCTAATATGACCTTGGTTATATAGGCTACGTAAAGGTTAGTAAGACTATCTTCTCGAGATATAGTTGGATTAATACAAAGTGGTTGAAACTTGGTTGAAATAGAAATGACTGTTCTTGGTGGCATTGAATTCGAGTTTTTTTAGTTTCATTAATATCTGACGCATAATAAGACCATATTATGCAAAAATGATCATTTTCTAACTCAAAAAAACGAGATGTTCGCCTGTTCTATGAAAAAATCCCCACTGTGGAGAGGTACCCTTAAAGATCAAAGTGTTATTTTACAGTTAAAAACAGAATGAGTATGTGTAGAATACAAGCCTTACTCATTTTTAAATTAAAAGAATTCTTTTAAAGAGAGAACTGATTCAAAGAGAAAAACAAAAGTTTCTAGAAAACCGTTTTGTGGTATCTCTGAAAATCAATTATCAGCGTTGTTCAATTCACGATTTCTCAAAATGCTGTGACTCAAAGCCTGGATGTATTTTCATTTGTTACATCCAAAATACAGCAGAAAAAAAAGAAAAAGTCATGGAACATTTTCTGGTATTCTTCAGTTCTCTTCCTCGCAAAGCTAAGATAGTCGCGTGAAAATAAAATGAAGGGATCAGAAATTGTTGATAGGTTTTGAAAACAGCAACGTGATAATCTTAATATAACGGATGCGGCATAAAGAATGTCACCATTTCTATTTTTTGGATAGCTCGGTTGGATTTCATCGTAGAGAGTTGAGCTTAGTCTCAAACGATTCCTCGTTAAATTGTCGACCAGAATATGTAAAAATCTTCCCTTAAAAGTTTAAATGAGAAAATTCGGACAAATAATACTGAAAAGCTTCAACGTGACTAAGTTTCCCAGAGATTTCTCTGTTTGAAATTATTTTATATGATAGCATAAATATTAATGCGGATACGCAGCAGTAGAATTTTGCGAGTACAATCAAGTGCCCTCTTGCTACCAGTGTACAATAAAGTCAGTTTCGAGCAACTATTCCGACTGAAAAACTGACTTATTGTATTTCAGCCGAAAATGTCTGAAAGTTGGATTATTTTGCTTCTTTTATTAGAATATGAAAAGGGATTTGAAGTCCGACGATTTATGTGATTTGCCATGCATTACTCTTCAACATAAAGCTAAAACAGTTTCAAAGTTGACTTTCTGGTCAACTTATGCACAGTTTTCTGAATGCCCGACAACAGCTGTTCCAAAAGCGTGATTTGGTGCCAAAATCTAAAAAAGGCAACGTTCTTTTACAAGCTAGATTTTCATGGGGAACTTTTTAGTTTACAGGTAAAAGGTAGAGCTTGTTGAGCGCTATAAAATGGCTGATTAGTTTTCTTTATGCCTTGAAGTGCCAACGAATAAAAAGAGAAAAGATGTTTTTTAGACGGGAAACTTAGTCACGTTGAAGCTTTTCAGTATTATTTGTCCGAATTTTCTCATTTAAACTTTTAAGGGAAGATTTTTACATATTCTGGTCGACAATTTAACGAGGAATCGTTGGAGACTAAGCTCAACTCTCTACGATGAAATCCAACCAAGCTATCCGAAAAATAGAAATGGTGATATTCTTTATGCCGTACCCGTTAGATGAACGTATAACATAAGGCATAAGGCTACTGTTCGTTAAGCGCAGAAGCAGCAAAACCAAGTGACACACCAGTTCAATGTCAGCAATGTTTCAAATTTGGACATCCGAGAGAATATTGCAGAGAAATACAGGATATTTGTCGTAAATGTGGCGGAAATCATACAACAAATAATTGTACTGCAAATGGAGCTAAATGTTTAAACTGCTCAGATCAACATGAAGCAAATTCGACATTGTGTCTGAAATACATCGAACAACAGCAAAAAATTCGAAAAATAATTGATGATTATACTAGTGAAATTAAAGTACCAGCACCAATGACAACAATAAATTTTCCATCATTGACAAAAACCTATCACAGTGCACATCAGCATCATCAAGCTGACGAATATTTATAGATGATGGAAACAATGATGGAGAAAATGGCTAATGCAATAAAACAATTGACAACAACTTTGATTGAAGTATTTGCACAACAAAATGTCCTACAAAATCAATCACAAACACCAAATTTATCAGCCACATCATTCTCAACAAATTCATCACCATTGATAGCGCTAAATAACACCTCACCAACAACCACGCATCGACACGTGCACGGCAGAGATCCATAAGCACTTCATCAAAAAATCTAATCAAGAAACATCAACAATATATTCCTGATTCACCACAGCAACTACAACAAGAACAATCACAGTCATTTTCACACTTTCAAGTTCAACAAAATCCAAGACAATTCTATCAACAACAGCAACAGTCGCCGCCAGCATCGCAGCACAACACACAAGGTAGTGGAATAAGACAAAGACGATCAGATCATTCTGCTATAACATATGAAACAACGACAGTGGAGCAGATGAGCCAACAAACAACGACAAATAACGCATTAATATACTAATAATATGAAATATGTACATATCAATATTAATTCAGCCCGACAATATAAAGAAGAATTATTATCATTGTACCCTGAGTGCGATGTCATCTACATGAACGAAACAAGACTCAGCGAAAGTGTTCTTTATGATCTCTTAGGATTTAATGTGTATTGTCATGATCGAGATAATCGAGATGATAGTGTACTGATGGCAATTAGAGAAAATATCAAATGTACAGAAATGTTAAAAAAGACTATTGAAGATAATGAAATAATAGCACTACAGATCCAAATAGCAAACACTAAAAAATTCTTAGTGGCCTCCATCTATGTACCACCAACTAAAAAATTGAGTTTTAAAGCCAGACAACAACCTCTTAACATCAACAAAAACTGCTTAATAATGAATGATATAAATGCGGCCTTGGCGAGGCTAGGATCTCGAAAAACAAATAGAAATGGCCTAAAATTCTTCGAGAAGTGAAATTATTTGCAATTGACAGCCATATGTCAACGTATGAGATGAATTGCCAAAATTCTTTATATTAGAGAACTTTGTGAGAAACTAACAAGAAATGCACTACGACGAGCAAGAGCTAATCAAGAGAATTTACTAGCATCATTATTAGGAGAAATCATAGAGACTTCTATCGCTCAGACAATAATACAGTATACATTAAAACTATGTACTTTGAAAGAATGATGTAAAAATTAGTTATTTTTTTTTCGGGCAAAAGACTACGTGTCAACGCTCTTTTTGTCTCTAGATTTTTAAAATAAAACCGATGATTTCTGTCCTGAATGCAGACTTCGGGTACGCCTCAAAATGTAACCAAGACTAGTCGCTACAACTTAACAGCCGGATTTTTTAATTTTTGTATGTATCTGTTCAAGAGCTTCTTGTAAGAAGTTGAAAAATTAGAGCTAAATTTTAGAAAAAAATATTTTGTCAAAAACGAATCCGAAAATTTTGAAATTCCGATTCTGTTCAGTTGTAGAGCCGATGTTTCGCTTCATTTTAAAATCTTGCCAAGGTGTCTAGTTTTCAAAATGGCCGAGAAGTCTTTGATATATGAACATGTAAAAACAAAACAACATTATTTCGAGAAAAACGCAGAATAAGTTTTAGAACAGTTATTTTCTTTAATTTCGACAGTTTTAAAATCTGTCTAACCGCGAAAAATTATTGTAAAACCAATAAATCATGGTGCAGTTGAAGAAGACAGCTTAGGCTATCCGTAAATAAATCCTAATATCGTTTTTTTGACAGAGAGTCCTTAAAAAAGTAGACTTACCTTCTGCTTAAAGCATTTGTAGTTCTTGTACAGAGATATCACGCCTTAAGCATTGAAATCTTACCTTTGCAAATTAAGTTTCAATCAATAGATAGTTAATGTTGTTCGTTAAGAAAGAATCAATTTAATCATGTACATAGGAGAGAGAAGAAGAAATTTTTTTCACACCAAGTTCGATGGGAGCGAAGAAGAAAATACTGTAAGCCTCACCCAGTTCCATGACGCTCTACCGCTCTGACGTATGGAGCAAGTATAGTACAAGCCTCAACGGTAATTAGCGTCATTATCGTGAATGATTCAATTAATATTTTATTATTATTTTATTATAGCTATATGCAGTAAATGGAACATCATCGTATACAATTTCATTGCCTCAAACATTATCCATTTCTTATTTGCGCGTGTATTCAATTGACGTGATGCAACCCAATGATTTACTCACACTAAAGTCCGGGTGAGCTTTAAATGTAACTGAGACAACGAATTCATCAGGTGTCAGTTTATCGAGTATGTACTGTTATGTGATCTAAAATAAAACTATTTTAACATCATATTCTGCGGTATAGTTGCTTGTAATTCAACATTAATCAATCCATCATTAAGTCAGCGAACAATCTTATTAGCTCCTCATCAACAAACTGGTTTAACGTTTTATGACGATGTGTACGTTTCTGATGAATCAACCACCAGTTAAAGTTGTTTTTAGAATACTGAAAATAGAAATAGAACAATATACGAGTATCCTCGGTGTAAGGTCGCTTTGCCATTAGTGACTTTCTAGATGTAGCAAAGATCAGTTCGGTTCTGTTTGACGCACAGAGGATTGGAGCTCAGCCATTCCGCCTCATTCACAGGATGCTAGAATGGTTCTAGCAACGAACTGGTCCGAGTGATAATGTCCACGGATATACACTCCGTAAAAGTTCAGCGTGAATGCCCCCTACTCAAAGGTTTTTTTGAAATTCAGATAAGAATCTTGTAAGATTCTTATAAGTTTCTGTTACTCTTCGTATCAGTTTCTTGCAAGATTCTGCTCAGTTTCTTATGTAAGAATCGTCTACTAGGGTCAATGCTTCACATACGGCAAACGTAACCTTATAGGTAAAACTCATAATTTAATGAATTAAAAGGCATCAGTCTTTCTCATATTTAATTTACAATCATTTTCAATCATATGATCGAATCAGAATTGCGAAATACAGCGAAGTGAGACTTAATTTACCTGAGCAAATGTTTCTGAAAAGTAAACTCCAAAGCTTATCAAAAATCAGATAGTTCAACAGTATGACCTACGGACTAGGAGGTATTCATTTACGGTAGAAGAACAGCGGGCCGAAATTGCTGTACTTTCTCTAACTTTGTATTAATGTTGAGTTTTTCTTTTCAAGTAGACCTTATTGTGTAATACGATCCCAGTTAACGATGTAAAAACGGTACGTTTACGGCCGGCCCGTTAACGTAGACTTAACGGGACGTTAAGACGCCTTTAACTTGACCGTTTTGAACGGCCTGGGAGAATACGAAATTTTATTTGCATCAAAATTTAGAAAGAAGAAAAATAAACACTAAACAGAACTTTATCATGCGATTTTTCAATCAAATAGAGTGAAACAAAATCAACTAAAAGGAACTGATTTTTATTTACTCATCTTACAAATAAAAGAATTCAGCTGTATCAAGATTCAATGCAACTCGCCCGAGCGTCAAAAATAAATCCTACTAAAAGTATTACTATACCAACCAGAGGTGGGGCAATGGACGAGGGTCCTCAAGAAGACCCGCGATTTTCCACTTCACAGATCCCGCGAGGAAGATTTTTTGAAAGCTTGACGAGTACGAGGTAAGAACTACGTAGACGATGCGAACCTCGCGAAGGACATTTTTTCTTGTGAGCGAAAGATATGTTTATTTTGATCTACTTTTATACTCAAGATGATGGTTCCTCTTGCGAATCAAGATGAAATAATGAATAGCTTATGTTAGCGGAGATTTTCCCGGTTCAGGAGGATCGATGAGGAAGCGCCAGAGAACCTCGACGCTTGTATTGAAGCAAAGAGCAAACAACAAAGTCGTGAGTATATTTGTGATGAAGCTATAGCATCAGGCTAAGATACTGGTGTAACCTGTAAAATTTATTGTTTACCAAGTTCATAACACACCTCTCGGATTCAAGAACTCAGACTCTTGCCACTGCACATAAACGGTTTATTTTTCATGCGTCTGAAACTACTGGGACCCCTCTATATGATATATTGCTTGTTAATGTTGCGTTCATTTTCCCAGGTTCATGATTATGACCGTCGTGTACGGTCGTATCCGTCAAATTACGTCGTCGTAATTGGACGTATACTATAGTGTTTCGTTATATTTTGACGTAAACCCGGCCAACGTATTACGTCAGCCGTTACGACCGGCGTATTTCGTCGTATTTCAACGTAAACGACGTCGTTTACGATGGATGTAATATGTTGGCCGGGTTTACGTCAGAATACGACGAAATACTATAGTATATGATCGTGGAGCTGACCAGGGTTTCAATGGTTCTGCAACTGCTTCGCTTCATACCAACAAAGTTGTATTTTTTGCGATGCGAGAAGAGAGAAAAGAGACAAAAAATATACTTTTATGTTTTTTTTGTCGATACCTACATTAGTAGTTTTTGTGATGGCCGATACTCTATACGAATATTATCCTGTGCTTGTTCAACCATACATGGTGACAATGCTGATTTTTCATATGCATTTTTCACAGATTGCAAATGGATTTGTATGATTGAATAAGCCCAACATAATATTCCTACGAAGAATCGGCTAAAACTACGAATCTAGTAAATCAACGATATGTAACATAAAAACATTTTTTTGTCTCTTTTTCTTTCTCCCCTCATCGCACAAAATTCAATTTTGCTGGTATATAAATATCGATAGCAAGCACACTATAATCATTCATCTTCAATTGTCGCGAATTACCTTTATTCAGACTCGCAAACAATGTTCGAAAATTCCGTGGAGGGACACGAAATCATCCAGCAAATAAGGCATAATAATACAACAAGTCTTAATATTGAATATAAGAATATATCAAATGAAGGGGCCAAAGTAATTGCAGAAGAATTGAAAATAAATTCAAGGTTAACAGATCTGGATATTCGATACAACAATATATCGCAGGAAGGGACCAAAGCAATTGCAGAAGCATTGAAAATAAATTCAACATTAACAAATCTTAAGATTGGAAACAACAGTATATCGGAAGAAGGAGCCAAAGCATTGGCAGAAGCATTGAAAATAAATTCAACATTAACAAGTCTGGATATTCGATACAACAATATATCGGAGGAAGGCGCCAAAGCCATTGCAGAAGCATTAAAAGTAAATTCAACGTTAACAAATCTTAATATTGGAAACAACACTATATCGGAAGAAGGAGCCAAAACATTTGCAGTAGCATTAAAAAAAAATTCAACATTAACAAGTCTTAATATTGGAAGCAACAGTATATCGCAGGAAGGGGTCAAAGCATTTGCAGAAACATTGAAAATAAATTCAACATTAAAAGATCTTAATATTGGAAGCAACAGTATATCGCAAGAAGGGGTCAAAGCATTTGCAGAAGCATTGAAAATAAATTCAACGCTAACAAGCCTTAATATTGAGCACAGCACTATATCGGAAGAAGGAGCCAACGCAATTGCAGAAGCATTGAAAATAAATTCAGCATTAACAAGTCTTAATATTGAAAGCAGCAGTATATCGGAAGAAGGGACCAAAGCAATTGCAGTAGCATTGAAAATAAATTCAACATTAACAAGTCTTAATATTGGATATAGCAGTATATCGGAAGAAGGAGCCGAAGCCATTGCAGAAGCATTGAAAATAAATTCAACATTAACAAGTCTCGATATTGGAATCAAAAGTATATCAAAAGAAGTAGTTCAAGCAATTGCAGAAGCACTGGAAATAAACACAACATTAACACGTCTTTTTATTGATACCAACAGCTATATAGTTTCTGAAGAGGTTGCAGCAGTTGAAAAAATATTGAGCATGAACGCAAGATTAACTAGTACTTACATGACAAGCACACATATAGACGGTAGGCCGGACTGGTGATCACAGACATTCTCCCCGGGTGAGATATGAATGATAAAGTCATTATTGAAATCGATATGAGATTTCCAATAGGGCGTCGGCAGAGCAGTGAAGACATTCGACAAAGATTTTGAAATATTCATAGATAGATGGAAATGTGATTGAAATGTAGTAAATAATATACGTACGCTTTGGCCCCTTCATCTGACATATTCTTATGTTTATTTTGATCTACTTTTATAATCAAGATGAAATAATGAATAGCTTATGTTAGCGGAGATTTTCCCGGTTCAGGAGGATCGATGAGGAAGTGCCAGAGAACCTCGACGCTTGTATTGAAGCAAAGAGCAAACAACAAAGTCGTGAGTATATTTGTGATGAAGTTATTCAGAAACAATATGAAAAACATCATCGTTCTCAGATCAAGTCCTGATTAATCGCCAAAATTGTTTATAAGGTCTTAAAAAAATTGCATTTTCAGATTTTGGCCAAAACTAAAACAATATCTAATTGTAAATACCTTCTTTTACATGTTTTGAACAGAGAAAATATTTTCATATCTAGATCTAAGTGTTTTTAATGTTTCAAATAAGTTTTCTATTCATGAGCTATACCTGAATTAGTATCTGTGTTGAACTCTGGGGGTTGGGGGCGACAATTGTACTTTGTACTTGGACCTAAACAAATACATCAGAAATATTTATCGCTTTTCAAAGTTCTGGTGTGTGTTTTTCTTAGACATCGAATATTGCAGTCTGACGCTTTTCTAGCAAACATATTTTCTTGATTAATTACTTCGAATATCACAGTGATAAGCACTTACAGATATTACAAAGCTCTTGAATGAGTATGATTAGGCAGATGTTGGATCAGCAAACGATTAATTTGCCTTGTCGATTCAATTTTTGTCCGATGATTAGTCGCAGAAGCGTCGGCGAGCTCATGGTAATTCCATAATGGTTTTAAACAGTCAAGCGTTTCACCTATCTTGGATCGGCTCAATCCACAATGATGATTTCCTATTTATTGTCTAGATGGCATCCGGCTTTGAGCAGTGCCGAATAAATTTTAGATGTGCGTTCAAGGGCAAACTTTTTCAGATCGATTTCGGCATATAATGAGTATTTTTTCCGATCGATCAACTACAACTGATATTTACTGTGCATAACTGTTAGATAAATAAATAAACAATAAATCCTCGTTAAATAAATTAATTAAACTAACTGTTAGATATCTCGGATTTGACGTACTGATGTCAAAGGATGAAATACAGCTTTACAGCTCTTCTAGTGGTTCCAAACTGAATGATGACTTACATTATATAATCGAATTTGACTGTTTAACGTGGCCACATACCTAGATGTGGTTTGTGGAGCCACTGTCAGCCGTGATCTGATTTAGCATATCACCTAGTTCAAATTTATTCATAAACCGCCCATCGTGACCATGAATGAAGAAGTCTTTCGCCATGCGACTATTATCTGCTAAATTGCGTTAGTATGCGACAATGAAATATTTTGTTACAGCAAAGCGTGATCATGATATTCGACCTTGAGCAGTTGAAATTTTTTATTAAGTTTTAATTTGTGGTTGCCCAACCATGTATAGCAGCAAACATGGCCTTATTCGTTTGAAACGACTAGTCAACTGTTGATTACACATAAATATTTTGGTATTGTATAGCTGGATAATGATAATGACTTTTTGGGGTGACTTTTCATAATGACTTTGGCGTCGCTGATGCCCTGACATTTCTGGCTAAATTACATCGACGAAAGTACAGAGTCGAAAAATGATTATCTAGCGTATTAAAATTATATTAAAAGTGTGGTTTGTTTCAGACGGGTACAAAAATAGGTCAGTTTAGCGATCTCTTTCTGCACTCATTTAACGGCCTCTATCTTTACTTTGGAGCAGTTTGTGATTATATTTTGTCCTAACGAATATTTTGATATGACTCAAATTCTTGCTCTAGCCGTCTTTCACGGTTTGTAGTTGGAAAATATTTAATCAGCCTCTCTGCTAAATATTCAGCGTTACAGAAAGTGATTACTCGGTTATGGTAGAAGAAAATGATAAAACAAAGGATTTCTTTTCAAATTTCTACCTACTTCGTTACTGCAGCAATAGATGATAGTGGATTCTCATTTTCTCATTTTAAGTTTGTTTGTCACAATATAAAGAAAACAGATTTCTGATATAGGAATTACTTAAAAATTTTTAATAGGAGCTCTCAGAGTGCATTTGGAATTTTTTGACTAACCATAAGCGAATATCCTAGTCGAGACTCCCGACAAAACTCACACGGGACTCCTGTCACAGGGTCCTGCCGGGATTCTGCGGCAGTCAGGTGGGACTTTCAAGAGACTCCTAAGGATTCCTGAGGACTCGCTCGGGACTCTTGTAGGACTTTCGAGTCCTACGGGAGTCCACCAAAAGTCTTCAAAGTCCCACGGGAGTCCCCGGAGAGTCCCATCTGACTCCCGGCAGAACCCCGTGACAGGAGTCCCGTGTGAGTTTTGTCGGAAGTCTAGACTAGGGTAGCATGTAATGTCGGTACCAAGCGAAAAAATTGGGCTGACATCAGTGACTTACACTAATCTATCGTCCAAAAACACTACCAATCTCTAAATTGCAAATAAAAAATCAAGTTATTTCAGATAAAAATTTGATTGTAGATGGGCTTTTCGATTATTATAGAGAACAGTTCCTCCCTAAAGTCCCGGGAATGATGAACAGGAGCTTGAAGACATTAAAACGATAACGGATAACTTTTAAGAGCCAATGAGTAACACTACAGTACTACAGGTAAACAAATTTATAAAAAAACTGAAATTGAAAAAGTCCTCGGGCTTCGATAACATTTCAAATTTTATGTTAAAATCGTTACCCTTCAGTCATCGAGAATATCTCGTTGTATGTTTTAATGAGTGGCTTACTGATAATAAACTTCTTGATGCATGGAAATAGACAAAAATGGTAGTTTTAAATAAATTGAAAGCAGGTATACCCAGTCCTGATCAAACTCGCCCTATCTCATTACTTTCAACGCACTCAAAAATATACGAGAAAATTTTATTAGTACGAATAAAAAGTTGGGTCGACTACAATCATATTTTACCGGTAGAGCAATCTGGATTTAGACAAAAATGTTTACTACAAACAAGGGTTTTATCCACGTATCAAAACATTAATAATAACCTTTGTATGAATATTCCGTCGGTGGCAATGTACGTGGACTATAAAAAAAGCATATGATCGTGTCGTGCATGACATTTTTATTATAAAACTATTTAAGTTAGGTATGCCGTTGAATTTATTGAGAGTGGTTTGGAACTGGCTTAGAGGCCGTAATCGTGAATTGTCATGAGCTAACTACTTCTTGTTTTTCCGTACATAAAATGACGTACGTAATTTACCATTGCTTCTATACAGTGTACATTACCGAAAAAGAGAAAAGGAAAAAGAGAGAGAGATAATCAAGGTATATAGTCTTATGCGATTGTTTGTCCAGAGCCTTTTCGTAGAATGTTTTTTCTGTCCCATACATTTGATCGAATACTGTTGGAGTACACATACAATGGGATCGAACGATCCATGTCATTAAGAGAAGGAAAGCTAGCTCTGATGACTAACGATTGTTTCACTTATAGTTTATAACGACGTTTCTCCCGTAGTACTATTTTAAAATGCTTCTCTGTGATCATATGACCTGTAATTAAGTAGTGTTTGCTTGTCGCTGATTTTACTGTATGCACGAATTTATCTTTCATAGTGCATAGCGTGTTACATATTTTTTCAGTATCTATCGCATCAAGATTTGTCATAGTTGAAGATAGACTAGCTGAGAGCGAGTAACTGGACGTCGTTGATTTATTTGTGTTGATGAATGACTACTTTTTTCATTATTACATACGTTTTTACTACGTTTTATGATTCTGCCGCTCGATATACTTTTTGAAGTTTTGACATTAGTCCAAGCACTGGAAGATAAGCTGGTTGAAAATTCTCTATAGTTTTTTGCTGATCACTCAGATGTCCATCACGTTCTTTTACAAAAACGCCTATACGTCTTTCCGATGTAAAATTCACCACAAATTAAGTCACATATCCTAAATTCACCACGTTTATAAAGTCACATATTCTTAAGGCATTGAAGATCCATTAAATACACCGGGATGCCTTATAAAAGCGGACTATGACTAAAACATGCAAAAAAGGGATGAATAAGTCTATCACAGATTTTTCTTTTTGACTGACCATTTATTGTTGCCGGTAGGCTGTTACAAAAAAAGAAAGGAGAATAACGAGGAAGACGGTAAAATGCATAACAAACCAAATCGAAAAAGAAGAAAACAACACATATATTTAACTCATACAATTAAAAAGCAGTAATAAATAAATTCTTTCTTGCGCATTTTACTCTGTTACCTCATCCACAAAAGTTATCCATGATATTAGCATCTATTTAAGAGCTTGACTCTTTTCAACGAAAAGAAGTGACCTAGATTCTGATCTTTAGTTAGTTTAAAATTATTAGTATTACGGGAGAAACGTCGTTATAAACTATAAGTGAAAGAATCGTTAGTCACCAGAGTTAGCTTTCCTTCTCTTAATGACATGGATCGTTCGATCCCATTGTATGTGTACTCCAACAGTATTCGATCAAATGTATGGGACAGAAAAAACATTCTACGAAAAGGCTCTGGACAAACAATCGCATAAGACTATATACCTTGATTATCTCTCTCTCTTTTTCCTTTTCTCTTTTTCGGTAATGTACACTGTATAGAAGCAATGGTAAATTACATCATTTTATGTACGGAAGAACAAGAAGTAGTTAGCTCATGACAATTCACGATCACAAAAAAGTCGCAATAGTCGCCTGACCGAGCCACTTTTCGTTAAATTTGAACTCGATCGATTTCGTTAGAATTCCTCTTTAAGAGGAAATTTCGAGGAAATTGTTTAGAATTTGAATATGAAATCAGAGATAGGCGAGTACAAAATTTCTGGTAGTCGTACTCGTGCTCAGAATTCCGTGTACTCGCGTATCTCTATGTGAAATTTTTGGTTTAAACGAAAATATAATCGTAGGAATTCCCTGAAAATCAGGAACTGCTGATTGCTTTGGCTTTCTGACGAAAAAGAGAGATGAAGCGGATCATCATACACATAATTCTTTTGCTCATAAACACCCGAACTACAGTACTCGTCTTCAGCAGACCCATATAATTAATCAATATAGTTTACATCACTCATACGCTGATCTCTGGTCCTTGACGCTCCCGAGTAAGACACATTTTTCTCTATCAGAAAAGCATATTTAAACAAAAATAATATCATATTCGGAATCAGCTAATCCAGTTGCAACTAACCATGTATAGTAAAAAAAGTTTTCGGAGAAAAAATTTGCTCTTGGCTAAGAAGATTTTCTCCAAAAACTCTTGAATGAAAACTAATAAAGTCTTCAAACATTTCAACAAGTCCTTCTTTCATCTTTCATGTATTACAAGGTTCGAGTGACAATACACCAAGCAAGCATAATGGTAAGTGTATAATTATTTATATGCTTTTAGCGGACGTGTCTGTTTTTGATATTTCTAGCAGACGTTATTCTATTCTGCTGATTCTTGATACGAATATAATTGTGCACAGGTAAGATGACGTATAATTATTTACGTTGCTTAACTGATAGATTTTCACACACGTACAAGTACATATCTTTTTATTTATCTTGCTGATTGTGTTTAATAGACCATAGTCTTTGCAAAACCATGCTTATCTAGAAAGAAAAAGTATACATGTGATATAATTATTCATTCATAAAGTTAATGACATTTGGTACGTGATCATTTGTTTAGCTTGGTAGAAACACTTGCACAACAGTATAAGTAGAAAAAAGATGTCGATGCATAATTTTATGGTATCTAAAGCAGTTGATATTGTTACCAAATCTGTTATGGATTTGGACAATGAAAAATTAAAGAACCTTACAAAAACTTTAACACAAGAAGCAATTGGGATTTCAAAAGAACTTGAGATGAATGGTCAACATGTGAGTTCTGAAATACTTGCTGCTCGATTAAACGGAATTCTTACACGAATCAAATATGAAATTTTAAATCAGGTTGGTACTAGAGGTATTGTTATATTTTCCTCTACATAATGCATCCACAGCTAGAAGAAAGAAGCCAAGATAGCACTTATAACTGAAGGTGAATAGTAAAATTTATCAGCGCCATTCGAAAGTTTTCAAAACGACCTAATCACAGTTATGAACTCCAATAAATGGTTCTTGAATAATTTACGTCTGTCGTCTGTATTGCAACACCTTTGTAAGCAAAATTTCTTGCTTCTCGCTGAAAACAGGTTTACTCTTTATAATTGTAAAATTTCTGAGATGCTATGCTGCTAAACCAACTAACACCTCGCATATTTTTGTCACTAGGGTCCAGATAACAGTCCAAATGAATTTCCCATTTTTAACGTTTCACATAACCCATCTGCTCCGTATCCAAACCCGATTAATCATTTATATGATAAACGTTACAAAGACGCTTATTCGACATTCATTAAACAACCTTCATCTCGTGAAACGGTCGCTCCTACTACTCCTACTTCTCCCCCTCCTCCTCCACTACCACCTAAAACATTAAAAGATACTTCGACTTCGAACTCCTTAAACACCAATACACCCTCAACTAATTTCCCGTTTATCCCAAATCCAGCATCGCCCTATTCGCAACATCATCAATCGTTCTTTCCTCAACAAGCAATATCCGCCTACAACAATCAACAGCACAACTCATTTATGCCACCAATGCAAAACTACTATCCTTTGCACCAGGCGATGACTCATAATCCATTTGGAACTATGCCATCTCATCACGAAGATACCCAGATTGGCTTCAGTAATTTAAGACGAAGCTCAACTGCCGATGATATTCGACCGAGATCACTTTCCCGTTCAAATAGCAATATTGACAACCGAGAACCGTTCTACGAAAATAAATATCGTAATCATTCAATCGTTGACGATCAAAGATCTGATACGTTGAGCAATCACCAACAAAGAGATCAAAATGAAAAAATTAAAGTGCATGTTTATGATCATAACGAACAACGCTATCCAAAACCAATATTAAAACAAAATGATAACCATGAATATTCGCGAAAAGTTTATATATCACCTGAGTCAAACATGGGTACAGACACATTAAATGATTTAATGGCTGTCGTTGACTCGAGACGAAAAACTGATACACCACTCAACTCCGACCGAGTCATTATCATTGATCGAAATAAACCAAAAGATAAATTAAGATTATTTGAAGTTCGACGAGAATCCCCCAAAACATCCACATACGATAATAAAAACGTCGTACCACCGCCAGTGTTTATGCAACCAACATCATATCAGCAATCATCGATGCAACAGGCACCACCCAAAATGTACACATCGGGTCCAATGTATTACACAAATAGTTTACCGTCATTTCCTACAACAGTGCCCACAGCAGCATTCAATTTTCAAACACCGTTCACAGGCTATTATCCAATGATGTATAGATACTAAACAATGTTTTTTATGTGTCTCTAATTTGGTAACTTATGGATAAAATGTTTATATAAATCTCATGATGATTGTTAAGATTAATGAAACAAATAAAATTGTCTGATAGTCAGATAAGCAATTTTTTTCAATAGAAACTGAGACAAAATCCAAACCGCTTTTGACTATGATGATATTTCATTAGGTGATAAGTCATGTAAATCAAGAAAATACTTGAATTTTTTAATGTTATAATGTTTCGTGACATTTTAAACTAAAATGTTATTGAAAAATTTCTTTTCCCTACTATTAAACTGAAATATTTTTAAAATCTAAACGTTCAACTTTTTTAAAACCGAAATTTCTCAAATTTTTTTATAGTAATAGATACTTTCAAATACCTCATTGAATAGTGCATGAAAAACTGAACAAACCAATGGATTTGCGAGATTTCAAAACGAATGTTACAGAGGTTTTGAATGTTTTATCTGGAAATCGTCAACGATATTCGGCGATTCAAATTAACATTCGTTGACAGTATAACACAGAAACAGTTTTGACATCTGAATAGGTTTTCAGGGGCTTTCAAAGGATTTTCAGGTATTTTTATCTACGAAAAAATTTGTTTCTTGTCTTTTTTTGTATTGTGATAAAGGCGATTATAAGTTTTTGATCCCAAAACCGGATATGTATGAACTTATAGAGGAAGACTTGCTCTATCCAATGATGTATATATTGTCGGATCCTCATATGCACCATCAGAGGAAATTAAAGCTGACCTCTCTTTTGTTAAATTTGTTACTTTACACTGAAAAAACCCTATTTTTACTGTCAAAATATCTTTCTCTTCTATTCAGTACTTGATAAAGTTTTGAAACAGTTAGTCTTGTAGAGTAAAGATTTCTCTACAAAATGAGATGTCTCCCAGCTCTCCATCATCTTTTCTGATAGAGTTAGGATCATTTTGCTGGAAGCCTTTGAAAAAGTCACATTTGTGATGTAACGTCCAAAATGATCACAATTCCATCAGAAAACATGGCAGAGAGCTAGGAGACATCGTATTTTGTAGAGAAATCTTTACTCTACAAGACTGACTGTCTAAGTCTAAAGCTTTTACCGCAATCGGGTGAATTTTTGATGGCCCACCCGGAACAAGCCGGGCCAAGAAAAGTCGAGGCTTGCTCGATCCATCATGCGAATCGGTTGGCCTGACCCGATCTGGATGGTAGTCTTTCCTGGACCGGCCGGCTCGAGCCCGACTCTAAATTCTTTTTAGACTCGGTTCAATTTTGTTATGGCTAAAACACAGTAAAAGCTTTGCTAAAGATTAGTTCAGCAGCAGTATGAGTTAATTAAGAAAACAGAAATAACTTTTTGGCTAGGTAATTTCAAAAACATATGAACAATAGCGAGAGAAAGAAGAGAAGGAAACACAAAACAAGGTTAGGAGAACAGATGTGGATCTTTTTCAAGTGATTTTTGAATTGATCATCCAAATAATACATCTTCTACAATACCAGGATTTAATGATGATCGTCGTTCATTAATTACAAGACCCGCGGCACTAAACTGCCTCTCGACTCCAGCAGACGTTGCTGGAATTGAATATAAATGTCGAGCAAGCTTTGCCAAATATGCATATATTCGAAAGTCTATTGTACAATAAACTCAGTAATGGATAGAATTCCTTTACATGGTGTATTTGTTTCTACTCTTAGTATCAGTCATCCGAAGTGATCAAACTCTTTTTCTCAACAGAATTCACTAGATAATAGTAACATACTGTTACTAGGAAATAGCCAAATTTAACTGAAAATATGAAGAAAACTTTTAAAATTTCTCGGGCCGGGTCGGACCGTAAAAAACGCTGATCCGACCGAGCTAAAAGCTTTTCTCGGACGGTCCGCCCGGCCCGACAAAAAAAGCGAATGGCTCGGCCCGGCCTGGTCCGAGCCGGGTCATCGAGTCGGGTGGATCGACAGGAGCTCTGGTATACACATAGCATGAGGTCAATTTTTTAGTTTTAAAAAAATTCTTTTTCTTTCAGTCGCAATATCAAAAATCAAAATTAGTGAAAAAAAACCACTTTTTTATCAGTGGAGATTATATAGAGAGATGTAAACTCAGTTTTGGAAAATTTTTGATTTCGAGTTTGAAAACTCGAATCTCAACATAATTCTATTCGCTACAAACTATCCAAACATCCATGTGATAATGATCTTTATGTGAGTCATGAATTCGACTTTTTTCGAAAAACACTGCCCTCAAACAAATTATGGCTTCAAATAAGACGTTTTTCGTGAAAAAAGACACATCTGAGACGTTTTGAGATAAAGACACGTAGAATAAGCCGTTTTTGTTTACAGTGTAGGGAAGCAAGCTACGGTAAAAACTGAATCAAAGGATAATTTAGTGCAGCTTCATTCATTCTCAGAACTAAGAATGTCAACTTTATCATTCAATACACATATTATTTTGGTTTTCCTGCTGTAAAACGTATTTTTCGCATCCAAACTATATGATTGGATAGCTCTAATTAAGAGCTGGATAGTGCTACATTACTGTTTGCAGCAACTATAAGCATTTCTATACTGCATTTTCCCTCAATTACTCAGTCCATATAGTCTATCACTTTGAGTGAACCAATGCCTGATCTACATCCATAATGAGTGACTATGAAAAAAGCGAAATTAATTTTTTTTCCATATCCCACAATTAATTCAGTAACAACTAAAAGGTCGGATCGCTCAAGTGTTGGCGCTCAAATGTCGGTCGCTCAAACGTCGGTTAATCGAATTTTTCAGATCTGGTCAGAACTTGTGTTCAAAGAAAATAAATTTTCCGGAAGTATTTTTTATTATAGTAAAAACAAAAAAAAAGACATCCCGGAATATAAAGTAAAAAGAATTCACGTATAAGGTATGCTAAACAGTGGTAAATAGCCACAGTTATGTATCAGAAATGAGCAATTACAAATCCAAACTCAAGAAATCTGTTAACTGACTTGATTTTAGCTCAGAAAGTGAACGAACTTGCCCATTTCTATCTAGAGGTTTCAATGTATTTGCCCCATTTATCAGTTTTTGATATGAAAACATTGATACTGTTATCGTCATCTTATGACCGTTAAATTAATAACACTTGCAATCACTAGATGAGTCACTTTTTTTAGTGTGTGATTAGTATTGAATCATCGGATACATAAGTTTAATAAAAAAATTGTTTTGAATATCAGTTACAGAATATTTAGCACGGACAGTTTCTCATTATCATTAGAATAAACAATAATTTACTTGATCATTTTTCCAGATATTGATAAACTTTCATACATCAATGTTTCGTTATTGTCAAAGTCGCAAATCTGGAAAACATTTTTCTCTATCTATGTACTAATTGGGCCAAAATCATGTTTTCCTCTGTATTTTTATAGCACACAACGTGAATAAGAATTAAGTTATTTCCAAAAACAAAAAAAATTTGGTAACTTAATGGAAAAAGCGAATCGACGTTGAGGAAAAGTATCATTCTGTAACATGAGATGAAATAAATGTGCCAATTGTAAAGCAATAAAAAATTTCGATGCCAGCCTCAAGAGTATAGCAGTGATTAACGATGTTTTCCATCTTTTTGTTGCTACATCTCAAAATAAAAATAAAAAATTCTGCAGAGAAAACATGAACTTTTTATAGAGATAGATTGTGCTTTGATAAGAAAAAGATGTAGAAAAACCGAGAAGTTGGTCAGTCATTATTATTAAAGAATCTAGTTTCCAAATTTTTTATCCAATATTTTCTTGTTATGAAATGAATGGTTGAGTATACAATGATGACGTACAAGGAGGATAACAGTAAAAGTATGCTATCAGCATAAACAACAAACAGAACATGATAAGCAACATTTTCATACAATTATCCACTTCTTAAAATATGAGGGTGACCATTTTTTAAATTACACAATAATAAAAGATAATCAAAACTTGTGATTCTCATCATTCGATAGCTAAGACTTTAAACCACCTTTTGATAATCAAAAAGAATTTGAGAAAGTCTCTCAGAAATCAGTTTTCTAGGGAATCTTTGAGAAACCATTTCATAACTGGAAAAGTTAACGTAGCAATATATTGTTTTCCACTCGTTCTGGTGCTTTTTGAGTGAATTATGCTTTTTTAACCTTAGATGATGACAGTCTGGAAATCCTGATATTCGTAAAATACGGTTTTCATTAAATTTCTGATTTTTTCTTCGAAAATAAACGTTGCCACTAAATTTAGTATGGTCAATTATGTATTTTTCTTGGGCTTTCACAGTTACACCCAGTCACCGAGTATCAATTCTGAGATGCCACACCCAAATCACTGAAAATTGAGGTCTCGCTTTACTCCCATTTTTAAGAGGATACCTTAGGTCACTTACTCATGAAAAAAAAACATATCGTAATGTTAACATTTCCAGTTATGAAATGGTTTCTCAAAGATTCCCTAGAAAACCGATTTTTGAGAGATTTTCTTAAATTCTTTTTGATTATCAAAAGGTACTTTAAAGTCTTAGTTATCAAATAATGAGAACCACAAGCTTTGATTATCTTTTATTATTGTGTAATTTAAAAATGGTCACCCGCATTCTTTTAAAAGATGGATAATAGCGATTGTACTTCCACTGAATTTAACATCTTAAACACAATAGGGCATCGTGTCAGATGAGTTTCCTATATGATGCTATGAGGTAGACCGAAAATTTTGTCTCATTTGCATCTCATGCCGTAATACGGAACAACTTTGTACACAAGATGTACATATAACGGAGAGATATGATTATCTACAACCAATACTTACGTATGAATAAGTTATTCGACTAGACAGCTATTGGTACAAAAAAAATGCGTCATTTTTTTTTTTAGATGAAAAACAAAATTAATAATAAATAAAACAAAAAGTCACATGATCAATAGACTTATGATATTCGAAACCAAGTTATGTATTTAATAAATAGTGACATCCTAATTTGTGGGAGAACGTCCTTACATTTTATATTCTCAAAAACATCAATAATTAGGTTGATAAATTAGAATTTAATAATACAAAGATGTGGGATGAGTGTTAAAAATAGAGTGCATGGCGGTTATGTGTCACAACGTCCCATAAAAGCCTGAATTCAGACAAAAAATCCTAAAGCTATATTTCACTAAATCCCCTTCCGAGACAGTGACATCATCATCTTTCAAATATTTTTAAATTAGATTCTTTTGATTTTCAACAATCCAGATTTCAGAAAGTCTTTTTTAAGATTTTTAATAAACGAGATAAAAAACCTTTTTAACGATAAAATGATATAAAATTCACACCTTTCATATTCGATTAGCTCGAGTGTTTACCTAGATATAAGACTATCTTGACATTTCTAACTCGTGATTTGAAAAAGATTTTTTTTGTAATACCTTCAGGGGATACTTTGTTTGCCTCTTGTTTTCTCAAATTTCACGAACAGTTATAGGTAGAGAACCGGAAATTATTTTGCGAACTTCATTTGATGTTCGATATGTTTACTGGAATTTTTTTGTTAAAAATCGGATATAAAATAAAAGAAGTTTTTCTCGCTGTAGCGGTCCCTCTTGAGATTTATCACTTTTATCCTTTTATATTCAGTCTTTTTCAATCTTTGATTGCTTCACTTTGAACAACAACCTATTGAAATATTAGCTAGTACAGACTATCGAATGAAATACTAAAATAAAAGCGGGAATAACTGTTATTCTCAACATATTAAAAGTTTAGTTTGACATCATAAGTTAATACAAAAACGCTATATTTTTACGTGCAATAAATATTTGATGACAGGAAACCTCTTTTTGTATTGTTGAATACCATATATAAGTGAGTTTCATGGGTTTTGTTTGCCATTCATTAATGTTAGTGTAGAAAATCATGTCTATTTTCTTTTAATTCTTTTTACTCTCGACTCCTATTATAGAAAATCGTGCTCACTCCTAAAAAGAAAGATATTAGATGGCGATGCATAAGTTTTCCCAAATAAACTCTTTCCATTTTTATCTAGTCTATGTTTTTCTTCCGGTTTTTTTTCCATTGTTGAGAAAGAATTAAACCGGTTGTAATTATTAGAAATAGCTTCTCTGTACTTGTTCTCGAATCTCACATCCAAATATAGATAAAAAATTAAAAACAAAAAATTTTGTCGACAGGAAAAACAGAAGAAAAAGAAGAAAAAACTCGGGAGTTCATAATGAACATTTTCTTTTTCTCTCTTCAAAAACATATCGTTGCCCTCAAGACTATATTTATAGGTTTATTTCAACGATCAACCAAAAAAATATTGGTTTTTCTGTCGAACATTTAATTGTTATAGTAAAAAAGGATAAAAAGAGCAGCAACAAATGTTCACGTCCATATGCTAGAGAGAGAGCTCTGATTTTTGTTTTTTCTACTAAAAGTATAAGAACACCATGTAGATTAGAAAATTGTCGCCGATGTTTTGAGAAACCTTTTTATTCATATTCACTAATAGTGGAAAAGAGAAAAGAAATAAAATATATAATAGTGGTATGTAAAATTTATATACGAAAATTTAAAGAATAGATAGAGATAAAACGTTCTAGCAAGTCGATACTCATAAAAAACATCAGAAAACAACATTGTAGAGAAAGAAAACATTAGATAGGAAAAGTAAAGAATAGCTACGGTTCATAAAAGTGTAAAACAAGACTACTAATTGAAGAAAAAAGAATAATAATAATAATTATACGATAGAAAAGAAAAAATGAACAACAAGTTCTCATGTTTTTTAGACGACATCTAGAAGAGAGAAAGAAAATATAACATTGTTTTGAAATCATGCTCATTAAAGAAAATATGTCATTGTATTCATAATCTTGATCATACGTTGGGATAATCTTTAAACTACCAGTAAAAAATGGAAATTGTGAAAGAAAATATCTCAATAACAATGCCAAGTGAAAATGCCGATTTAAGATGTATAGTTTTACAACAAAGTTTTACCGGTAATAGACAATTGAAAGTAACTTCGATACCAAAGTTATTACCACCAGCTGAGAATGAAGTACTCATTAACGTCAAAGCATGGTAAGCTTTACTGAACTTCTAAAGATTTTTTTCTCTTATGATCTTTTTTCCATTTGTTTAGCGGAGTAAATTTTCTTGATGTCCTAGCCCGATACGGTGTATATGAAGATACATCAAAACCGCCATTTGTGCCAGGTTAGTATAAGTTTAACGAAATCTAGTGAGTACAATTGGAGCTTTAAGACATAATATTTAGGATAATTAACAATAATGGGATTATATTTAGTAATTTTACAACCGCCTTCTTAGTTACTAGAGACTCAGACAGAATTCATTTCTGAAAGAATCAAAGAAGATACCACGACCGG